ATTTACAAATGGGCCAATAAGTATCGCCTTTTTGGTGGGCCGCGAAGTTTGTCGACTTGATCTTGTGGAGTTAAGAGGGTGGGATCATGAAGGGTCGAGTGCTGAAACCACTCAAATCATCCTCCTTAAAGTTTGGCTGATTAGGTATTTAGTTAAGGTAGGACACATGTCAGCTCTCCATCGAAGTTTAACACTTAGCTATTTGTAAGATATAACAATAATTAACTAGATCATAGGCTTGCCTAATAGTGTTGAAAATAATTTTAAATGGTTCTCAAAATACTTCTAATTGTTGTAAATATTATGATTATGAATATTTATTTGTTTATGGTGTAACATAAGTTATGAAGATTAAGTGTTAGTTGTCAATGGTACTTTTTAGTTGTTAAGGTTAAGTCTAAGTTATAAAAGTTACTATTAATTTGTTAAGGTTGTCCATTGGTTGTTAAGTCCATCAATTGGTTGTTGAGATTATGGATTGGTTGTTAAGTTTATGTATTCATTGTTAAGGTTATAGTTTAGTTGTTAACTTTACACTTTAGCTGTTAAGTTCATAGCTTAGTTGTTAAGGTTACAGTTTAGTTATTAAGTTTACAGTTTAGTTGTCAAGCTTTACAGCATACTATGATTTTTTTTTTGCATTCTTTGGTCAAACTTATGCATAACATCAATAGCGAATCCAAAAGGATAACATCCAACATATATGGTTAGGTGCTAATACAAAACGTTAACATCCAATACATATGGTTAGTTGCTATAATGCAAAAGGTTGACAATTAACTCTAAACATTCACAGCTAGATAGGCTCGTTGCATATTATCCAATTGTGACCTTCCATATGGCATCCAGAGCACTTAATAGGCCGAGTATTTAGTGACATGTTGTTCCTTCATTTACTAAATGGTCTTCCCCATCTTTTTTTTTGTAAGGGGAGGCTTTAACTGACAGTCTTCTGGTGGTACAACGTGCTTCTTGTAATCTAGAATAGGAAATAGGATTGATTCATAACTTCTTCTGAATGCTTTAACAGTCATAAACCAATCACGATAATAATAAGTATGTCATCCCATCCAAGTAATTACAGCAAAAGCGTGCTTACAAGCAATGCATATGATATCCTAATACCTGCATGAACATGTCCATTTCCTCATACCTACATGGTAAGTTTTATTAGATTCAACCTCAACAATATGTTATGTTAAATTTTAAACATGTAAGCAACTTTCTTGATGAATATTATCACTCAATACTATCTTAGCACTTGGTTATAAGTATCCAGTCCATTTTGCTGCCATAAACCTTCTATCATATATGCGCTCCATGATTTGCTTTTGTATCGTCTCCACTAAAGATAAGAATCGTAACATTTGCCTTTCTTGTCCAACTGTTGAAGGACTCAACAATGTTTTAAGCAACATGGACATACATATAAATCACATGAAAAAACTCATAAGTTAACTTTAATATTAATAACTAATATTTATCCATAACAACTAAACTGTAACCTTAACAACCAAGGTATAAACTTAACAACTAATGTGTATACTTAACAATTACACTGTAAGCTTAACAACTATATTATAAACTTAACAATTACTTGCAAACTTAACAACTACATTGTAATCTTAACAACTGAGATGTAAACTACGATGTGAACTTAACAAGTAACATGTATGGTTAACAACTAAACTTTAAGCTTAACAACTCACAAAAACTCAACAATAAACTAAATTAAGCAATATTATCATGCCTTATACCAGGGAAATAAGTGTTTGCTCATCTCTATGGGGAGTAATTCATTACAGTAACATAAGCCCTTTTATCTATCAGGGTCAGTTGTTTCATATAATCATCCTATTCGACAATTGTGAACTTATAAGCCCTATTCTATAACAAGTCACCAATATTTGAGCGATATTTTCTTTATGACCCAACTTCTTCATCTTTTTTTTTTTTGAAATTCTCTACTAGGTGGAGAACACACCTAGAATTTAACGCATTTGGAAAGAATTCTTTGACTGCTACTCTAATACCCTTGTGGGCATCAGAAATCATGACTAGTTGATGTGGATGATTGTAAGGATTTTCCCTATCACATAGTATCGATCACACTCCTTATAAGAACCACTTAGAATTTTTCTCATTCTCCTGGTCATATACACAATAAGAAAGAGGAAATATTCTTTGGTTGTAGTCATATACTGTGGCACTATACCTCTGTAGCAATCTTTAAGAAATATTCCATCCAAAAATAACAGAGGCTTATATCTAGCATTGAACCCATGAATACAAGCATCATTACTTATGAACAAATGCCTATACCTTCCATCATAATCATCAATGGCAATACGACATCATGGATTAGTGGCTAGGACCATAACTTCATACTTGTATAAATATAACCAGTAATCATTAATATTATGTTATAAATTGTAACCTTAGTAACTAAATTGTATACTTAACAGCTAAGATGTATACTTAACAACTAAATTATAATGTTAACAACTACACTAAGGTAACCTTAACAATAAATCTGTATACTTCAAAATTAAGGTGTAAACTTAACAACTAACATAGACATGACAACTAAGATATAAGTATTTATTTAATCAGATATATTTTATCATCTTAATGAATCATAAGCCTTAGCATCATCACTGAACATGTCTTGTTGTGCTCTTTCTTATTTTTGCCGTGCTTCACTGTAATTAATTTTAATGCCGAACTATTAGAGTAAATCATTCTTGATATCAATTGGCCAGATCTCTGGCCTAACCTTCATAACAGATTGGATTTGACTTGCAATAAAATTTCATGATGCTCTTAATTTACCAGCATTTGCTCCATGTTGACCTCAATTGTGAGTTGCATGGTTTTATAGCCATAATCAAGCAATTTTGGAGTGGGGAAGCTAAAAATATCCAACATGGCATTTCTGCGTGTCCTTGCATCGGCAATGCACTCTTATATATTTTTGTTCATTATGATAAAAATCATGCTCGAACATGCTTGAATAGCATTGAAGTGCTAATCTAACTTCAGCAGCATTATCGAATTTCTATCCCTCTGCGCATATGGCTATGTGCCAATCAGCTAGGATGTTGGTTTGGTTATTAATCATGTCTTCTATAATTATGATAGAGTCACCAGTAGGATTGTTTTTAGGAATATGCTCATCATTACATGATTGGCTACGCTTAGCAGCTGTGCATTGGGAATTTTCTGTCAGGATTTTCCTATAATAGTGAAAAAACACTTGAATACGTAACAATTAACTACAAGATATTTGCAACTAACTATTAGGGTTAACAACTAACTCATAAGGTAAACAACCAACTCATAACGTTAAGAACCAACTCATAACCTTAACAAATAATTGCTTCTAGCAATCATCTACTAAGGTTAACAATTAACTTACAACTATCTACTAAGGTCTACAACCAACTCATAAGGTTAACAACTAACTCATAACTTTAACAACTAATAGTTAAGGTTAACAACTAACTTTTATGGTTAAGAACCAACTCATCAGGATAACAAGCAACTCTAAACCTTAACAAGTAATCATTATGATTAATAACAAACTATAATATTCACAACTCTCTCATAAGGTTAACAAACAACTAAAACCTTAACAACTAACCTATTAAGTTAACAACCAATTGATAACCTTCAAATCCTACCTAATTTCACAAACAAAGTGATTAAAATGCTATGGAAAAATAAAGTGTTTAAAATACTTACACATTTTCTAGAGAAGTTTTGGTGTTCCGAGAAGTTGAAGAATTCGCAAATGCGGAAACATATAAATTTATGTCTACAAATCCATTATAAAGACAATACTCAAACATCAAGCTCAAGTCATCATCATTTTCAATTGCGAAACTAAACTTTTTTCCTTTCGGATATAAATTTCAGTGAAAGAGATTGCAATGTGAGTTTAAGCTTTTGAGACACTAGACACTTCAAGCTAACGATTTTTGTAGAGTCATTAATTATTATGAAAACACCTCACCCTCTTTGTTGGTTTTTGCATTTGTAACCATGCAAAGGAGGGGTCTTTCCGTTGTTATGAAGAAAAATAGTTGAATAAGCAAAGAGGATTTATTGTAGAGAATTAAATAGCCATAAGCGATTAGTTGAAGAAACAAAGAGGATTTATGAATAGAATTTAGTGGCCATGAGAGAGAGGAAAACGATGGTTGTATGGATTAAATTGGAGGGAACTAGGGTTTTTTCCCTCCAAAATCCCTTTTAATCATCATTAAATGATCATACGATGAGGGAACTCACCTTCTCGAATGATCCCCCCTCCTGCGCCCCAAACAAATTGTGGAGAGTATTTTGGTCTAAGCATATTTTTAAAGTACACGTGAGGGTTAAATTAGAGCTGAAGGGGGTTAAATGAATATTCACATTTGCTGTATTGGATTTTAGAGTTTTGAAAATGTCTTAGGAGTGGGAGAAATAAATTTATTTATTTTAGGGGTTAATAGGAGCTTTTCCATATATATAATATATAATTAGCCAGCTAATATACACTTCCCACCGACACCTAACATGTGGGCATCATCAGCTTCCCCATTCACCAAGGAAAAAAAGATAAATAAATAAAATAGAGAGAGACCTATTATGAGATAGAGGAATTAAAACAAGGGAGTGGGTACCATGTGATTCTCTTATGAAACTTCAGTTTCTGTTTCTTCCCTTGTCCGTCAAACTTTGCTCACTTTCCTCAGCTAGCTATTGCCTATGGTGGGTACACATTAATCTATCGTCTACTGGCACGAACATTTTGTTCAGTTGTATATGTTACAGTCTTCCATTTGGTTGTAGGCACAGACAAATTAAATAGGTCGGCTACTAATTATACTTATCGTATAGATCATAACCATCTACGCTTCTGTTTAAACATTATATTTAATGTATACTACAACAATCCACTACAATGACAACAGTCTAAAAACAGTAAATACTTGAAATATAAATTTTTTCACAACATTCTTTAGAAAGAACGGCTTCGATTTTGCATCATATAAAGAGACAATAAACTGAAAGGGATATACCAAGAATTCACAATTAATGTAAAATTATCATGCTCTATACCACCATTCCTATCTATATAAATCATCACAACAAATACCAAATTTAATTTCCTTTTTACACATTTAGCCCAGCCAAGAAAGCGACCCCCGTCGCCGGCAACCAAGATGACCCATCAATGAACTCACCCACCGTGAACTTACTAGCCTCCTCCGCCATGGTTATCACCCTATACCCCGGCCACGTCACCCTCTTACCAACCCCTGCTCCCGGCCCATAATTCATATACTCACCGAAGTACAGCGTATCGAGGGCGAAGGTGTCATTCCACTCCAACCAACCAGCCGGATGTACGTGATCCCCAATGTCCGACATCATGTACACTACCCTCGAGTACAACTTCCAAGGCCGGCCCAAATAGGTTGGTCATGGATCGATATTCCTGTATTCTGATTAGGGTCTTTTCTGCCCTGGGCCGTGATGGTGTTTTTCTGCTTAGGCATGGGCTTTCGGGCCCAGAGGCTGCAATTCTGGAGGACGACGGCGGCGTTGCCAAAGATAAAGTCAACGGTGCCGTAGACGTCGCATTCGCGGTAGAATTGGCGCTGGGAGTGGACATAGAGCGTGTCTTGATAGCCGGTAATGCTGCATCGGTAGACGACGGAGTGGTCGGCCCCGATGCGGAGGGCGACCGCTTGATACGCTTCTGGGCCGGCCTGGTTGTCTATTGTCATGTCTCTCATTATGAATCCAGCTCCGGTTGCCGCTGCGACAATTAATTAGAATCAGTTCTTCTGTATTGGGTTATTATAACTATTGCCGGGTTAACTTTGCACGGAGGATTCTTGTTTGTTTCATCACATTCTTATAGGTGAAACAGAGCATCGTTAAGCCACTTGACTCCACTAATTAGTTTAAAATTGATCTTACGCGTATATCCCATATTCTGAAAGAAAAGGAAAGGGGAAAAAAAAAATTAATAGTAGAAAGATCACGGTTTTCAATCATATGGTTTAATCAATGGTAGTATTTCATTTTTAAATCTAGCACTTGTTGCACACATTACTGGGCGCTTGCGCAAGGTCTTGCTTTCGCATTTCGGCGCTGGCTATTCGATGTACAAAGCTAATAGTTATTTAAATGTGAGTTACGCTTCATTCTAAAATTTAATACTTACAATATTTACGCGTAATACACTCACTTTCGCTTTTTAACTAAAAGCAAATTAATAGCTATCAACTAAATAGTAGATGGCTGTGATGAAAACTACTGTTTTGGCAGCCTGCAAAATATAGAAACCATAAGGTGTCGTTTGGCAACGGGTTAATTAAGCGAGGGGTTAACACTTGACCCTTTCTTAACCCGCCAAATATAAAAAGTTTATACAACGGTTAAAGTGACCCTCCGTAATTTGCCAAATACGAAAAATACGTACATAAGGGTTAAGCTATCCTCTCTAGAGAGATTAAAATGAGTTAATCTCTCGAAACGAGGGGTTTGTTAATACTTTTATTCGGAAGAATTAAAAGTTAACCTCTCTATTTATGAAGAAAATAGTCAAAACCCTCGTAATCCCCAAACACTAATACTAATCACAAGGATTAAAATAAAACATATTTAACAGATCAGTAGTTTAATCTTTCAAATTATTTATTAAATGGACTAATTATGTTAATCATTCTTCCATCCTAATCACTCTTTCTTATTTCTTAGCCTTTTGCCAAACAGGGGAACAAAAAGGTAGGAGGTAAGCAAGGGATTTGGATCCTCTCCACTACAAAAAAGTAGTGGAGAGACCACTGTTTTTAATCTCAATCGTTAATTATTTAGTAGGCGGTTATGATACAATCTAAATCTAATACTTACCATACCCCCGTGTATTACACTCATTCCTAATTTGCACTAAGAGAAAAAATCACAACCATTAACTAGATAATCAATGGTCGTGATTAGCACTCATTCCTAATTTGCACTAAGAGAAAAAATCACAACCATTAACTAGATAATCAATGGTCGTGATTATGTAGTGGTCCCTCCACTGTTTTTTTAAAAATCACAACCATTAACTAGATAATCAATGGTCGTGATTATGTAGTGGTCCCTCCACTGTTTTTTTTTTAGTGGAGAGGATCCCAATCCGTAAGCAAGTACTACACATACCGAAAGTAGCCGTATGAAATGTGGTGTAGTTACCAAGGAAACTCCGCCTTCCAGTAACAATAGTCTTCCCCTTTCCATCTCCAATAAACATCACGTTAGTCTGTTTCCTCCCAATCTTAACGTTCTCCTCATACTTCCCAGCCTTCACATAAATCACAGTCCTCTTATTACTGAGCTTCGGCACTTTTTTTACAGCATCGGCGATCTTCTTATAACTCCCATTTTCGCCGTCCTTGGACACGATCATATCCGCCTGTATCGACGCTGCCGGCGCCTGAAGCAGCCTCCGATCGCTCGGTTTAACCCATTCGGGGAAATTCAGTAGTTTCCTCCGCTTGTTCTGTATCGGGATCCCCGAGAAGTCTTGGTCTTTGCTCGTGACCGCGAAGATCGCCAGGGAGTTGCTTACGAGCTCCGATAAATCCCGCAAATAGCCGTCCATCTGTTGCCTGACGTAACTGTCCTCGACCCCGTCGAGGCCTTCGGAGCACGTGTCCTGGTTGGTGAGCGCGGCGCTGAGCCAGGTGAGCACGTCCTGAACGCCATTAGTAGACCACTGATTTGCAGTGAAGCGACGCCAGACGCACTGCGCACAGCTGAGCTGGTGAATCGTCAGCAGGCTCATGGGCGTCGTCGTATTGACGGAGCGGCTCGCACGTCATGGAGACGCCGGAGATGGCGGAAGCGTCGTTAGAGCGCGCGGTTCAGGCGCTGAAGAGTATGTGAGGTAATGCGTACAGCGTCGTGCCTCTCCGGCGGTGGGGCGCGGGAAGTCGACGAGGGATCGATGCAGATTGGGTTGGGCTAGAGGGGTGTGGCTGCCAGGTTCGCGAAATGGCCTGCGTCGGGGTCGATTGATTGACGATGGATTGGTCTTTTGATCGGACAATAGAATGAAATGAGACGCCTGGAGGATGAGCGAGGTTAGAGGATTGAAGGATGCGGGATTACGATGAGAGCGGCAGCGGCGGCGGCTGTTTTGAGCGTTTGGGTTTTTGAGGGTGATAGCCATGTTGTGAAGTGAGGATGAGTGGCACTGATGAGGTTGAGAATTAAGTGGAATTCGTAGAATGAGGGGGGGACTAATGGGGCGCGAGGTTGGTGGGACGTCCACGTCTAGCTCGTTGCCTGAGCTGGAAACTACTCTAACGCCTGTGATCTGCTTTTACTTCCTCAGCTATTGAGGGCTACTACTGTTTCTGATCTTTTATATTGTAATTAACATAAATTACAATTCAAACAAATTACAATAAAACAAAGAAAAATTCATATTTCATGGGATTCTTTTCCGTGTGCCGATGGAGTATTGATATTGTGCTCCGTTGACGATTCGACTAAGGTAATAAGTCTTTTGCTGAGTAGAGGTTGCCGAATATGCTAAAATCTAAAGAAGTCGAGTGAAAGTCAATTTACAGATGTCAATTCTCGATCTCAATCAACGTTGATTTCTAGGTTGTGTAAAAATAAATAATCTCCCCTCCTCTTATAAGTTGAGAGAGAGAGAGAGAGAGAGAGAGAGAGAGAGAGAGAGAGACCCTTGAATGTGGATTGGACTATGAGAGAGAGAGAGAGAGAGAGAGAGAGAGAGAGAGAGAGAGACCCTTGAATGTGGATTGGACTATTAACTTAGGAGATAATGGTAAGTACCATTTCTTTGAAAATAGCTCTTGAAATAGTCGATGGCGAGGTTTGCCTACAACGGTCAAAAGACGAAGCTCGCTGAGTAGTTTTGAGCGAAGATTGTTGAACAATTCTAGGTGAAGCTCGCTAGGTGACTCTGGGAGAAGTTCGCTCTAGCGAACTTCGCTAGTACGTGGACAACGCATGTTCTTTGAGATGTGGATGATGTGGTCCACGTAGGTCAGGGTGAAGTTCGCTTGAATCTTGGGCAAACTTTGCTATTATTTCAGTGGTCTTTAGTATAGACAAATACTTGGGTCCGTGCGAAGTGTTTAGCCATGTATATTCATTTCTTCATCTTGGATTAAGCTTGAGCATATATTTTGACCATCCACAATGTTAGACCCTAGAGGGGGGGTGATTAGGGTCTTATGCTAATCTAATCCGATTAAATGCCAATTAAAACTAATTAATAAGTTATCCTAGCAAGTATAAAATACAACAAGATATGTAAGCTAGGATAAGCAATATGAACAAATGAATATATCCTATCAATGAGATATTACAAATATATGAGCAAGGATATATGAACTAACACAAGGGTAAAATAAACAATCTACACAAGTGATAGGGTAATATGATGAGCAATACACAAAGGCGATATAAGATATGAAAACAAGAATAAGAACGCCAATGCAATCACAAACAAAACGATATGTTTACGAGGTTCGGTCCCCACGACCTACGTCCCCGCTCCTCACCTCGAGGAGATCTCCACTATCACAACCGGGTTTTCTACGTTCACCCGAACAACGTTTACACCTCACAATACAATCACTATGTAATCACACCTCACACACTAAGTGTTGGTCCTAGCCCGTGTCCTCCTCCTCAAGTGCTCGGTTACAACCTCTCCCTAGGCACGTCAACCGACGCCACTCCTCTTGGATTCGACCCCGTCTCTCACCACACACTTCTCTCGGTGTACAAGTGTATTACAAGTGAATCCTCACAATAAGCACAATATAAATCAAATGATTTGTTCTCTAAACAAGGTGAGAACTCAATTAAGCACAACTCTAAGTCACTAATCTCACAACCCAAAATTATACTATGAATGTAAATACAATAAGCTCAAAAGGTTGTGTGTGAACAAAGAGATATAAATCAAAACTAAACTCAATGTAGTTCTAGCTTAATAACAATGATAATCAAATATATAAAAAAGCTAGAAATAGAGTTTAGAAAACTTCTCAATATATCAAGAGTTGGAGGGAGAATAGTTGAATGCCCAAACACCAATAGATGATCTCCTCAAGCTCTTGTAGAATTGAATCACAAAAACAAACTCTCAATTTGCTTAAAAGCTTTTTAAACACACTTAAACCAAACTAAAACCCTTGTTAAAAACTTTATTAAACTTGATTAAAAACCCTCTTGGTTAGTTTAAGAGTTGAAGGCAATGGGGTACTTATACCCTCTCTCAACTCAGCCAAAAACCTGAGCAAAAGACAAAACACAACCCCAAGGCAACGGTCAAAAAACTAGCCGTTGGAAGCTGAGAGAATACTCGTCGGTCGACCGGAAAATTCGTCGGTCGACCGAAAATTTTCATCGGTCGACCGGACCGGTCGACCGACAGGCTTCTGTCGGCCAGGAAACTTTTGACCTCAGGTTCGGTCGACCGATCCGGTCGACCGAAAACTGACACTCAAAAAACCTGATTTTAAAATGCTGTTTAAAAATATCAAATAAATTCCAAAAAATGTAAAACTTTGGGGAATGATTGTAGACATGATAATAAACATGCTACAACGACTGGTTTCGAAAAAGGACTTCCCAAATGAAAAATATCATCATTTTACAAAATAGTCCAAAACATGAAAACCTGAAAATTGATATTTTGATATTTTGACTTAAACAACATTTTGAAACCTTATGAAATGATTGTATAGACTTGATAAAAGATATAACATGTTGTTATGAAGTCTATAACCTAGAAATACAATATTTTCATAAAATTGCATATTCTATGCAATATATTCAAAACACTAAATATGATTTCATTAAATATAAGCTTGTTAAAGGTGAAATCATATATAGGCATATAAACATGAAACAAACTCCTAAACTAAATTACCCAAGCTTGATTGGTCTTCAATATGCTTGACTTGGTAATCTTTGCGGATGAAGCTTGAACTTGATCTTTAACTTGAATTGTACGATGCTTCACTCCACAGTTCCGCCAACCTCCTCTTGATATGATCGTGTAGGCTCAATCCATCCAACCTCCAACTACGTTGTTTGTCTATAAAACATAGGAATGCACAAACACTAGACAAACAACATTAGTAATAAATTGTTTGTTAAACATCATCAAAACAAGAAGGCCAACAATCTCCCCCTTTTTGATGATGACAAACAATTTACAAAAAGGAATATATGCATGAAGGAAGTGAACATATACAAGATAGTACACATGCATATAAATGTATACTCACAATATTTCTCCCCCTTTGACAACATCAAAAAGGGGACAAAGGAATAAGAGAGCGAAAGCTCCCCCTATCAATGAGCATAGGTGAGTATATAAAAAATATATATAGGGATTTGCTCCCCCTATCAAAATGCCATATAGAATATACGCAATGAAGATCATGGCAAACATATGTGAGCAAGCATAGATGGAAAATATGCTAAATACAACTCACATACATAAAGATAATGAGAACACATATGAATATATCAATGTGAAAGAAGTGTCTCATTAGCACAAAAAATATAGAAACCATATAAAAGAATAGATTTATGAAATCAAAGAAGAAGGAACATGAGAATCATGCAAAAAGTTTTCAAATGAAAACAAATCAACCAAAAGAATTCATAAATCAAAGTTTATATTCAAAAACAATGTTTGATCAATAAAGAAAAATTTTCTTTACATAACTTGATCAAACCACTCATAGAATACATTATAAAGCACAAATAGATGATCCATTAGCACAAACACATAAATATCATCATATAAGTGAATTATAATGAATTCAAAAGCAACAAATCAAAACACAATTTTTGAGAGAGGCAACAATTATATCAAGCTCTTGAGCTTGTTCCAACCCATATAATCATTTTAGCATCCGGTAAACATGATTTGGGAATAAACACCCAATAAACCCGGAGGGTTATATAAATGCAAACCTCTCATTAAAGCAAGACCAATGATCATGAAAACAAAAGAATTTAGCGAATAAAAGAAATTGTTTTCATAAAAGTTTAAAATGCATTTTTCAAAACCAAGAAAGAGAAAAATAAAAACACTAAAATTCTTGATTTAAAAATCAAATTTGTTTTGGTACCCAAGAACTCTTGGTACCAAAGGATTTAGGGACATGACCCCTATCAATGAAGCTCAAAGCCCTAGGGTTATGAACCTTCTTGGGCATATATGGTGCACGTGATTGGTCATAGCAATAATCACTCAAATGACCATTCCGATTGTAATATGTACAATGGAAAGGAACCATTTGCTTATGTTGACCATTAAAAGGTGCACGTGGAACATTTGCAAACAAAGGTAAATTATTTGAAGCTTTTTGCAAATGTAAAACATTATCAAAACAAAACTTTCCTAAGTGGCCAAATCTACCACAAACATTACATTTGTAAACATGTGGTCTACTAGAAACATTTGGCAAATGAGACTTATTTTTCAAATCAAAACAATATTTGGCCAAATGACCAAAACGACCACAAATATCACATTTAAACACATGAGCATGCTTATGATGAACATGATGAGTATGTGCATGTGTATGTGATGAAGAAACTTGATGAGATGCACAATGAGCTTTAGTATTCTTATATTTATGTGCATCATAGCAAAATTTAGATAAGTGGCCTTTACGACCACAAATTGAACACTTGTAAACTTTGCTATAAATATGTGCATAG